AGCCATATTATAACCATATCCTGCGATCGCGGAGCGAGCGCAACTGGCAGCAATCAGAAAGAATGTTCCCAAAGCCCAAATCTCCAGAAGCTATGCCCTCTTAGGACACAAGGAAGAAAGCTCGATGCGAACTCTCGTTTTCCGTGGCTGCAAAGGCTCACTCGGTTGGCTCACAAAAGGGGCCCCTTGAGAGATCAAGCGTCGGAGAGGAGTGCACACTCAAAGGCTAACGCACATCACACATGATGACTAGGTTTTCGCACGGACCCAAAAGTTTTCTTAGCCTTTGACGGGTGCATGACCTCACGCATCGTCTGTACAGCAGATCTCCCTTGTTGGCGGGCCCTCTTAGCAGAAACTACAAACTCGGGATCGTAGCGAAGCATCCACACGCGAGTTCTCAAGTACTGCTCAAAGGTTTTGCGGCATTCAGCAGATTTCTTCGTCAGCGCATCGCTGATGTTCCATTCCCCTGACAACCAGATGAGGCGCGTGCCCGCCTGCTCGATAGATTCTTTCATCTGGTGTCCTTGAATGGCTGCTCGAGCATTCGAGAGTCCCAAATTGGCACCCTCTTGACGAGTCACTGCATCAAAGCCGCCCTTTGAGTCGGTGCCCACGATCCCTGGTACACGTCGGACGACACGCATTGCCGTCTGAAGAAAATCCGATTCCCGCTCGACTGTGGCCCCATTGAGCTCGGCCCACAGTAGTCTGGCACGAAAGTTGGCGTCCTCCGACTCGACCATGGCCTGCACTTCGGCATCGGTGGTTCCGATCGCCACTCGCTGTAGCTTCCACGACCTCCAGCTCACCATCACCAAGAGTCCAGGCTCGCCTTGACTGTGCCCTGGGCCTCCAAAAAAAGGTTATGAGGCCGCCCGTCGAGCCTCCACGTGGACGGTTGCAGTGAGCTTGGTCTCCCAGGGTGATAATGTGCATCTCCTGCCAATGGTTCACCCCCGGGATCTTCTGGAAGTAGAGCCGTTCAGGGTGGCGTCTGACCTCTGTGATCACCGACTGGATTTCCCTAGCAATCTTCATGGTGGGCTTGTTCGACAGGTCCGTCAGAAGAAGATTGCATCTCGCGCAGAGCTGTGGTTGCGTCTGAACCGCAAGCCACTGGACAGCTCCTAACGCACCGCGACACTGGGAAATCTGGCCTGCCGTCAGCTCCTGGTCGTCCTTCACACGGCTGTCTTTCGCCAGCTCGAGGTCGGAGAGGGTCTCCACATAGGAGTCCTGGTGCACCTCCAGGTACTTGCCGTCAATGCTGTTCTCCTTCATCTCCAGGTCGGTGCCAGCGTGGCGGTAGCTGCCACGCTTTGTCTGCCCCCATTTGTAGGCATCGTTGGTCAACTGGCGTATCTCGCACCACTTGGCGTTGTTCAAGTCGCCAGCCCGGTGGAAGTCATCAACGTGACCGCCCATGAAGCCGATCGTTCGGTGGCGGTCGTCCTCGTTCCGAGGATTCTCCACTGCTTCCACCCAGATCCACACACATGGATCCGACATGATCTTGTAGGCTCCGAGGTTCTTGAACGTCTTGTCGAGATCCTTCCACAAGCCACGAGGCGCCGTAGTGGATCCGTAGAAGTCCTTGAGGATCTTCATGATGGAGTCATCGCTGATTCCAAGAGCTTGCCTGAGCTCTGGAACGCCGCTGGTCCACAACTCCATCTCCTCCTTCTTCGAGGTCTGCAGAAAGGCTGTTGACAAATCAAGACCCTCAAGCTCCCAACCATTCTGCATGGCCAGCTGGTACGTCATGCACCTTGTCAAAAGGCTTTGCACTGGCGCGGAAGAGTTGAAACCACTCTTCAGCAAGTCTGGGTGCTCGTATCCGAGCAGCACAATCCTGGCCTTCGCCTTCCGCTGACCATCGGCCGTCACGGTGGTCTCCGGATTCATGCGGGCCTCTTGTCGTGATTCGGCTTGCTCTTCGGGTGGTATGTCCTTCCAGGTGAGGACCCAGCGGCAACGCATCAGCCGCCCAGATTTCTTGCCGAACATCTCCTCAGCCAGGTCCTTGCACTTCCGAACCGCCTCTTGCTGCAGGAATGAGGAGACTTCTTTTGTTTTCGCCCGCGTGAACAAGACCTTGTGTTCAGAAGGTAGTCGCTCAAAACGGACCTCACAGTCTCTCATCTTGGACACCAAGTAGGCCGATGGTGCCCTCAGAAACTTCTTCAACTTGCGGTTGGAGTCGAATGAAATGTCCATCTCCATGATGAACCCTTCATCCGTATCCTGCAGACTGTGGAACAGAGCGTCCTCTTGGTCCTCCGGCCGTTGCCGCTTCGGAGCGGCATCTGCAGGATCATCACCAGGTCGCTTATCTCGACTCGCACCATCCTCCTCCAGCTCAGTGTGACCATCATGGTCACTTTCTCCATGAAGCCGTAGAGTTCCATCGCCGTTGCGAATCACACCACTGGGCTCCGAGGTCCCCGTTCTTTCATCACCCGTTGCCAATCCATCAGGTATTCCTTGAGGGAAATCAGGAGAGTAATCGTTGACATCATCAGGACCTTGATGTGCACGGGGTCCTTCACGAGGTGGTGGTACATATGGATGTGGACCCGCTGTTGATCGCTTCCCTCGAATGCGTCGGGATGGCGCATATGTTTCATCATCTGGCTCTGGTGGAAGATCAGGTAGAGCATCTTCGGGGTCTTCACCTGGTGGTAGTTGATCTGCCAGGTCCTCATACTCCCGAGATGGCACAATGTCCTGAAAGGACTTCCACTGAGTGGGATTCTCCTTGGTGGACACGTGGTACCATGTTCGTTCCACATCCGTCACGGGACGCACGGAGTGCGCCGAGCACCTGAAGAGGCGTCCTGCTATCACCACCCATACGATGTGCCGAGCAGGATCGTCGTCAGCTTGATGGGGTAACGTCTCGCAGAACACCACCCGGCCCGGTCCTATCCATTGTGGCTTTCCGGCCTTTCGATGTCCCCCTCGGCGTCCCCGGTATAGTTCATGAGGAAGGGCTCGTCGCCAAATCTTGACCATTTCCGTTGGCGCGTAGGTCCGAATGGGCTGCCGGGTGATCGTGTTTTGCAGACGACTCAGCACTCGACGTGCCCGCGTGATGCGAGCACACTCCTCTGCCTGTTGCCGCTTGGCAACCAGCTTGGCATACTCAGCATGAGGAGAATCATCTCGAAGCTGAGCAATGGTGTCCTCATCCTCATCCGTAAAGCTGAAATCCTTGCCATACGCCCACTGGTAAGAACTATAGCCCTTCACAAAGGCAGTCTGATTCAAGGCGCCGGCAGCAAGGTACAAGCACGTTTCGGGGCTGAGGTCCACATTGGCACTCTGAATGCGCTGAGTAGTTTCCTTGATCTCTTGCACGGTAGACTCAGCGAGGCCATGCGCCCACGCCTCAGTTTCAGCGGGTGGTGCCAACCATATGTTCACACTCGAACAGAAACTCGCAAACTCCTTGGCAGTGAAAGCTGTGCCGTTGTCGGGGATCAGCACCTGGGGCTTCGGCTTGTCAGAAAGCCACCTCCTTGAGAAAGCGTCAATGACATCCTGGGCGCTCTCCTGCTTCAGCTCAGTGATGCCCAGCCTTGTCAGTGGCTCCACAACACGGAAGTGGGTGGCCACGTCCACGAACAGCACAAACTTCACCTTGCACTTGTGCACCACGCTTGTCACTTCACCAACATCTGCCACCACTTGGGACCACGCCGTAGGAGCTGGCCTCGTTGATAGTGGTGGCACCTGCTTTGACGCCGTGCCTCCAGGTCGTAGAGCCTGGCAGTGTGGACATTCATAGTTCATCGCCATCTCCACCTGCCACTTTGGCTTGCCGGCCTCCTTGATCAATCGGGCCAGGTTGCGATTGCTGGGGTGTCCAGCAGCATTGTGGAAGCGTCGCAGCCGCCGAAGCCACAGCCGTCGGTCCTCATCAGAGGGCTCCGGAACTTGAGGATATCCGGAACCTCCATCGTCCTTCACATCCTCGATGTCCTCCTCCGCTGCCTCAATGGACACCGGCATGATGTCGCAGAAGTCCGATGCCCCTTCCAGGTAGTGCGTGCCATAGCCCTCAGCACCATCTCGCCGAACAAGCCGTCGAGAAGGTCGGTGGCCATCTTGATCCAATCGCAACACCGCCGATCGAAACCGCTCATCATTCATAGTCTCATCTTCGGGCTCCCAAAGGCTCTTCAGCCACGTGGCGGGAAAGAGCTGTTGTCGCCACGCTTTGGCCACTGAAGAAACAAACCTCCATGGATAATCAAGCCGAGGCCCTTCATGAAGTAGAAAGGGAGGAGCATGGCAGTGATCTTGCACACAGACCTTGGTCTTATAGTTGGCGTGGAACATGGGACATGTCGTCTTCACCTGCCACTTCTTCTGAATGAACTGCCGGGGCTCATAAGAACCAGGGCGCTCCAATCCATAGCGACACCCATCAATGCGGCAAGTGAGCCACTCCTTGTTCCGCTCCCAAAGACGAGTGGAGAACTCCTTCATCACGACATCGCGCCAGCCTTCTGAATCAGCTGGCCACTCCCAGAAGAGCTCCACCTTAGGCTCCTGGTCCACGCACCACAGAAGAAAATCACACACTCGTCGAAGCATGGTGCGCTCTGTCCTCCGCTTATGATCAGTGTTCTCTTGTTGCAATTGAGAGCCATCATGAAGGAATTGTTGTGGTGTCCAGCGATCCCCACGAGGAGAGAACCACACCCTGTGAGGCCGGTTCGTGAGAAACAGCCGTCGCAGTTCCACAAAGGTCTCCTTCTTGTACAAGTCAAAGCCGTTGGTGTGGTTGATGCGCTGGCAGTTGAGGCCTTCATGGTGGCACGCCGTAGCCAACATGGACTGAGGAGGCGCACCCATCTCCCACACAAGAACCTTGCCCGGCTCCACCAGGCAAGCATGCAGCTCGCGATGACCAATCGCCAGCAACACTGACGCCATTGCGAGTAGTCCACGAGCCACCTTCTTCGGAATCTCAGACAGTCTGGGTCTCACTGGGGTGTAGCGGGGTTCACATGGTCCCAGCTCGCGGTCGACGGTGACGATGTCGCTGTCCCGGGGATCGGCTTTCCTACCACTCCATCCTCCATCTCGTGGTGATTGGGGTTCTCCATGTCGCCGTAGCCCGCCGTCTCCCGAGCCGGTCCCGGTGTCACATCCTTGCCCTTCTCGTCGATCTTTGGTGGGGTCCCCACCGTGCTCTTTGCCACTGGGATCACTCCTCGTCGCCGCAAAAGCTGCTCGTAGCGATTTTTGGCGTACTCCATCTCGAGGGCGACCTTCACAAGCTCGCGGTCCGGTTTCCCGTCCTTGAGGTCCTCCCGTAGCAATGCCATCGCCCGCTGCACCGTCACTGCATTCTCCACTTTGGTGTCCGAACTCGGTGCTCCCTCTCTCGGGGTGTACTTCAGCCTCAAAGCACACACTTCGCACTCTTCCCACATTCCGTACCGGTTGGATCCCACATGGACCTGAGGATGTTGGCCGAAGCAGGGCCAGCCGGTTTTGGACGACCTCACGTCGCGAGGGTCGTGGTACATTGCCCTGCTCTCGTCCAAGGGAGGCGCCGGGTTCGATGCCTTCTTGGGTGCCATGGCTCTCAAGATTGTCCGCGAAGAAGTTGGAGTCCGAATTTGGTAAAGGCGAGGGCTGGATCATCCTCGAGCCTTCAAGATCCACCGAGGACGAAGGTTGGTGGCGTGCCCATGCGGAATGGATGATCATTCGCCGGCTCTTTGCATGTTGATCAGCACACACAACTGAAGTCACTCCCATGAACTCTAGCGGACACATGAGTTGAATAGGTAGATCCTCCGAAGTGCCCGGCAACGCATGAGACCTAAAAGAGTCCTTCTTGATAACGACATTGCAGTGACCCTCAGTGCATTGCTGGCCTGCTGTAAGGTAATCGACGATATCGGCGACATAGTGGCCTTTGCTGGTTGTGCTCATGTACTGATCCTTATCCCGAAGCTCTTGATCCGTAGCATTGACAAAGTAGCCATCATTGAAATCCACAATCATCCCTGCACCTCGTGGACCCATATGGCTCATGCCTACCAAAATAGGAACCAGCATTTCGGGACGAAACCACTTCTCGACATACTCCGGAGGGTTCGGCAGCGCAAACACTTCAAAGACCTTGGGGTTTCCTGATGCCTTGGACTGTATCTCTACATGTTGCAAAGCACGACCCCAAGAACCAGACCCGTAACAGAAGTATGGCCGACGAGACTGGTCCACCGTCACTGTGGCGGCATGGTCCTTCTCTAAAACAGCAGCGATCAGTCGCTGCACGCTGGCCTCTGGCCCAGCTGACGCGGTGGCTCCGCAATCTAGGAGACCACCACCTGGAGAAATGTTGTCGCTCTTGCTGGCGGCATTCAAATCAAGAGGGTCCCCGGCGATGCCCATCATCTCCAGGCCGTAGGCATTCACAGCTGGATGCTGTGGTCGGTAAGCTGGCATCCGACCCTTTCCTTTCCAAGCTGCTCCTTTGCCAACGGCGAACTGGTTCTTGCCCTTGAAGGACTTGCCCTTGCCCTTGCCGGTCATGCCGTAGGCCTCGTACTCCTGATAGGGGTCGTAGTAGGGCTCTGTGTCCTCGCCGATGTAGAACTGCGTCTTGCCCTTGCCGCCGGCCGCATTGGGGCAATCACGTGAAAGATGCCCTGGCTTCCCACAACGATAGCACCCTGGAAAGGACGGAGGTTTCCCTTTTCCCTTTACCACACCAAAGCCACGATCCCGGCGCAACTCGGAGGTTGCCTTCTGGGCACGCTTCCAGGTCAAAGCGGCCTCTGCCGCCATCGTCTCGGCGGCATGCTCTGCCTGAAGAGCCTCTCGGATTGCCGGGTCGTCCAGCTCCGCGTGTGACAGGTCCTCGGCTGCCTCCGGCGGTGGCTGTTCCGGCCACTCGTCCTCACCACAGTAGCCGAACCACTCGTCCCATCCATCACTTTCTCCTTGCCACGTACTCTCCTGCGCCCACATAGCATCCATGGGCCAATCGGTCTCCTGGCTGTAGAAGGAATTGTGTCCTCCATGGTGGCCCGCATTCATGCGGCGAGCTCCCGACAGCTGTTCATCCCACAACACCTGAAGTGCGTTGCTGATGCTCTCGAAATCTAACTTGTTGTGGGTCGCCGACAGGACGTCTCGGCGCTTTTCCAAGCTCAAAGAAGCCGCCTGAAGCAGCCTCCAGCCCCGAAGCACATCCAGGATGAAGGTGTCGTACGATTCCTCCTCGGTCTGCATCACAGCCGACCTTGTATCGAAGAGCTTGTGCGCCGAAGCCGCCGCAGCCGCTGGCGCAGGAGTGCCTGAACCATCACCTGAAGGTTGAGCTCCATGGCCCGGTGACGCTCCAGTCTGACTGCCCTGTGGGGTCGGATGATCAGCCTGCACGGAAGCTGAGTCTGGCTGCCATTCCTCATCACGACCGGCATGGTCGCGACTCCCATTGCCCTTCTCACTGCCCTTCTCCTCTTCATCATATCCACGAAGCAAACTCTCAAGCCCAAACACCTGCTTATCGACAGTCAAGCCCAGGCGCTCCTCACGGAGCCGGAGAAGAGCCTCTTGAAACTCCTCAAAGCCAAGCGTCTCTCGGACCAGGAAGTTCGTGATCGGTTCTCCAGGCATGCGCTTGAACTGGAAGTACTGGGTCATAATGGCCGCCGCGTTGGGTAGGCTCCGGCGAACCAAAGGTGACTGAGCCAATCTCCTCAAGAAGATCAAAACTCCCTGCTCCGAATCGAACTCAGCCTGTGGCCAGCTCATTGCCAGCAAGCGGGCTGACCCAGTGAGCTTGCTGATCAGCCTGGTTGCCAGATACCGTCGCTGGCCATGCTTGGTCCCCTGAACATACCAAGAGACTTCTCGAGCGTATCGGCGCCATCCCTTCGGATGGCCGTCCCACGTCGGAGTGGGTCCTGTGCTTCCACCACCTTGGTCGACAAAAGGCATTGTGCCCACGATCTCCGGTTCCCTCAGGGGGTCCGACCGATGCCACGAAAACCGCAGCACCGACCCGACACACTGAAGGTGAGGCCCAAGCCTCTCGCTCAGGATCTCCCGGAAGACACTAGTTCCAAGACTCGGCCAGGTAGATGTGGAAGCTGCAACCGCCCTGGATCACGGAGACTCTGCTCCGCTACCAGTGCGATCGCGGAGCGAGCGCAACTGGCAGCAATCAGAAAGAATGTTCCCAAAGCCCAAATCTCCAGAAGCTATGCCCTCTTAGGACACAAGGCAGAAAGCTCGATGCGAACTCTCGTTTTCCGTGGCTGCAAAGGCTCACTCGGTTGGCTCACAAAAGGGGCCCCTTGAGAGATCAAGCGTCGGAGAGGAGTGCACACTCAAAGGCTAACGCACATCACACATGATGACTAGGTTTTCGCATATCCCCTTATGGTTGCATTCGGCCTTGACTTTTTCCAGGCGAGCGGGCCTTTGAGCAATTCACCATTGCTAGTGCTCTCGGTGACCACTGTTCATACGCATCTCGTGTGTACAATGATCATGACATGCCGTTAGAACACCATCTAGATTATTACAAGTACTACTGACACAGATCGGGCTATGAGAAAACGCGGGATGTAGTCGCAACAGAGCGCAGCAAAAACCAATGTGTGTCATGACGGAGCAACAAAGAGCAGAACGTATTTCTATTACTGTAGGTATTTGCACTACTGCCCCGACGATTCCAGGTCGGATTGGTGGCTCCTTGACTGGCTTCGCTCTCGAACTCGTCAGGTTTGGGTGATGCCTTTTCGGAGGCTAGATATTGGGTCTGGGGTTTGGGGGTGAAGGCTTCAGGGTCTTGAGGAGTTAAGGGGTCGCCTTTGTATTGAGGTACGTCCTCTGGACCCTGTAGAGATCCATGCCACTCCTTACTTGTGAGCAGCGTAGAACATGTAAGTCGCGCAGGCGGGACCCAAGGGCTTCCTACGAAGGTTTTCCCGGGCAGTATACAATTCATTGATATGTAGATAAGTTGAACTTCAGCCGGTCCGCAGCATTCTGGTACGCCGTATTCCCATCACCCAGAAACAGTTGAGTGTTGAGGGCCGGGCAGACCATGGACTCGATGATGACTCCTGTCTGTCCTCCTTCTTTTTCGAACCATACCGTACGCTGCAGTCAGCACCAGTGTTTCGTAGTATGTCTACCCCGCCCATAGCCTAAGCTTCAGCCTGTTTGCGGCTTCTGGTCCAGGCACTGCAGGACCTAGAAGACTCAGCGGCTCGTCTACTCGAGGCCCGGGGGATTCAAGGTCTGCAAGGGTGACTTCGCGGGGAACGGAGGAAAAGTTCCCTCTAGCGATCTCTAGCCCATTTCTTACGATTATCTCTCCAACCCGTTCCATCATTGCGGAACCAACCGCTTTAGGATAGGATCGGGCAGCCTGCCCGCTCGAACAGGAAGTGCGAATCACACAGGTCCAAGGTCTAAGGCTTAAGTCATGTGGCTTTCGTGGGGCGGGTCGCTTGTGACGGCCATGGGCCCACAAGAGCCAGGGGCCGAGCTGGTTCAGCAGTGAGCTTAGGGGACCCTGGTGGAGGGATGCCAAGCATGCCGGCGAAATCGGGTCAGGGCGGTCAGGGCTTGTGGGAGTTGAAAACAGTAAGCTGGTGGTGTCGAGTTTGCGAAATACGATCAGCGGATTGGCTGAAGACATCCTTCACCGCAGTCGGGAGGGGCGGGAAACCGATCCGGCATCATGTGACTCGAGCTGTAACATGATTTGAAGTCTATTGTTGAAGCGTGCTTTGGGATTTCCCACCGAGGTTTTGGGTTTTGTTGGTGATGTCGCCACTCGGGCAGTGATCGAATCCAAAGCTTAAGCAAACAAATTTTTGAAATTACCCTGAGGTCGCATTGCTGCGCAAAATTGGTGATGCAGGCGGAGTTGGTTACAGTAGGGCTTGTACTACGGAGGAATCGAGGGCAAGTTTAGCTCTGGAGACGATCTGGCTGTCGATTGCAGTGCCTCCATCAGCAATGCATGCCCGCAGGTACTGGTAGAGGGCTTGTAGTGGTGGTGATTTTCACGAAGAAGGGCAGCCATACTGATACTGGGATGATATGCCTCTATAGACTCTAGGGCCAGGACTATGTCAACATCCCTGCACAGCAAGTGGCCAGGCGTATTGCTGGCTGCCATGCGACAATGCAGGAAACATGAGCCCGATCCTGAGTGGTGGGTGGATTCCGAAAATTCGCAGCCTACAACGCCGGTCTCCTCTGCCAAACCCTTGTCCGGCGCGGAAGTCTTTGTCCTCCTGCCCGAAGTCGTAGCTGGTTCGGTGTGGTGGCTGGTAGGGATGTATTGATTAGAGAGTTGCTCGATGGGTTGTCGGGGTGGTTGGTGAGCTGATGTTTTAGCTTTATCTTGCCGAGAGTCTAGAAATCAAGACAGCCCATGAGGCTTGTAGTGCTTTTGTAGTGTTTTGTACAACAACACTACTGTCTTATAAAACGCTATTGTCTCACATCAGGCAGCGTTTGTCCCAGGTTTGCACACAGGGCGGGGCTCTTTTCTCCCGGGGCGCAAGTCTTGAAGCCAGCCTGGGCTCGGAAAGGTCGGAGTGACTGAAGGAGTCTTCAAGACAGATGTATACACATACATATACATAGATGTGTGTATATGGTGTCCCCAATGTATAATACAATATATATATATATGTATGTATACATATATATATATATATATACACGTATGTATGTATGTATGTATGTATGTATGTACATATAGATGATACGTGATGTGTGCTCCGCAAAGGGAACGCCTGCACTTGTCGAGAGAACGCCTTGACCATGGAACGGTTTCCAGTTTTTGTCGCCGTTGTTTTGGGCTCGAAGCGGTGCCACGGTGCTCAGAAGGACGATTTGTTGCCGCTTGTTTTGGCTTCGAAGTGGTGCCCCAGTGCTAAGAAGCAAGATTTGTTGCCGTTGTTTTGGTGATTCGTTGCCGTTGTTTTGATTTCGAAGCGGTGCCCCGGTGCTCAGAACTACCATTTGTTCAGAAGTACGATTTGTTGCCGTTGTTTTGGCCTGGATGCGGTGCCCCAGTGCCCCCAGTGTGCTAAGAAGTACGAGTTGTTCCCGCTTGTTTTGGCCTTGAAGCGGGCCCCAGTGCTAAGAAGTACGATTTTTTGCCGTTGTTTTGGCCTCGGAGCAGTGCCCCAGTGCTAAGAAGTGCGAATTGTTGCCCTCTGCAGCGGTTCCTCAGGCTGGTCCTCAGGGCTAAGAATTACGATTGCCGTTGTTTTCATAAGAATACTATTTATGCGCGGCCCGCGGCCATGTGCGGCCACGCGGCCCGCGGCCCACGCCCACGCGGTGGCTCGTGTTCACGATGGACCGCGTTCACGTGGCTGTGCACGGCGGCCCCATGGCGACGCTCTGCGGTCCCCGGCACGCGAGCATGGCCGTGACCGGTGGTCAACAGCGACACGTTTGGGGTTTCGTTTAAACCCATTCCTTTTAGGGTTTGGGTTTTTCGCAGCCACCCACTCCTTTTCGGCTTCAAGGTTTCGCACACACCTACTCCTTTAAGGTTGAAGGTTTCGCACCCACGCCCTCCTTTTGGTGTTTGGGGTTTCGCACCCACCCACTCCCTCCAGGGTTTGGGGTTTCGCACCTGCTTGACTCCGTCCTTTTAGGGTTCAGGGTTTCGCACTCACCCACTCCTTTTTGGGCTGAATGTTTCGTAGCCACTCACCCGTTTTGGGGTTCAGGGTGCGAGGCCTGGATGCAAAAAAGGGTGCGAAACTACCAGGTGTCCTTGCAAGCAAGCCTGCAGCAAGAAGGGTTTCGCACCCATCCATGCACTGCTTTTGGGGTTTGGGGTTTCGCAGTCACCCACTTCTTTCAGGGTTCATGGTTTCACGCCCACCCACTCTTTTTACGGTTCAGGGTTTCGTGGCCTCTCAGGGTTTGGGGTTTCGCACTCACCCACTCTTTTTAGGGTTTGGATTTGGGGTTTGGCACAAACCCGCTCGTTTTAGTGTTTGGGGTTTCGCAGCCACCCGCTCCTTTTAGGGTTCAAGGTTTCGCGCACACCTACGCCATCCTACACCTTCAGGGTTCAGGGTTTCGCACCCATCCACTCCTTTCAGGGTTCAACGTTTTGCACCCACCCACTCCTTTTTGGGCTTTGGGGTTTCGCACACACCCACTCTCTTTAGGGTTTGCCACCCATGCCGTTTGGGGTATGAGGGTTTCGTAGCCACTCAGTCCGTTTAGGGTTCAGGGTTTCACACCCACCCAATCGTTTTAGGGTTTGAGGGTTTCGTAGCCACTCACGGCTGTTGGGGTTCATAGTTGCGCGCCCACCCATGCACCCTTTTAAGGTTTGCGGTTTCGCAGCCACCCACTTCTTATAGGTTTCAGGGTTTCGAACGGGTTTGAGGTTTTTCTTTTTAGGGTTTCGAGATGTTTCAAGGCTCCGCACCCACTCGCTGCTTTTGGAGTTTGGGGTTTCGATTTTTATTGATCCTCTTAGGATATACTGCTGCTACATTGCTTCCACGACTACTACTGCTACTCCTGCCCTGGTCATACGACGACAGCCATGTGTTTTTGCCTTGAAGCGGCGCGCCAGGGCTGAGAAGTAAGATGTGTTGCCGCTCTTTTGGCCTGGACGCTGTGCCCCAGCAGTGCTAAAACCTACGTTTTGTTGCCGCTTTGTTGGCCTCGAAGCGGTGCCCCAGCGCTAAGAAGTGCGATTTGGCCTCGAAGCAGTCGGTGGTGATCCGATCGTGGGCAGCCTGACCTGCACGTACACGTCAAGGATGGTCCTTGCCAGCAGATTTGGTTTTACGAAAGTCACAGTTTCAGAATTAATATTCAAAAAACCACAACTTCAAAATTTCTCTACAAACTAGACCTTTCTGGTTTGAAATGCATTCATTGTGCCGGATGGCACGGATTTCCTTCTTCTGTACTTGCATTATATGCTC